TGCGTGCGTGCGTGCGTGCGTGCGTGCGTGCGTCATCTGGACAGATGGCTCTGTGGGCGGTCTTTTGGGGGTTGAGGAGTTTCCCTCAGTACCCTCCCTTGACTTGTACAATCAAGCAGTGCCCCAAAAATCATGGCAAGCAGAGTTCGATCAAACCAAAAAGCAAAGAATACACTTAATAACTGGTTCGATCACAAACCCAACATGAATTTTCAAGTTTGAATGTCGCTATTGTCATTTTGATGAAGCTACTATCATCACATCATCCATCAACAATCACAGGCTATTGTTGTCTGGACGTCTGTGTGCGTGTCTTACCAAAAGTAGGGGAAGTGCGCTAAATGGCTAAAATATGAAATGCTGCATTCAGACTTGGATTAGTATTCATGCAAATTGTCACCGTTTCTGAATAACTCCCACTGTGCGGTTGCTCGTTTGCGATGTGTGAGTGCACGGGTCAGTGACAAGCCCCCCCTGTGGATACCAGCTGAGGTGGCCTATACAGAATTAAGCCCAGAGTGAAATGAGAAGGGAAACACAGCATAAATCAGACACACACAAGGCAGCTGTTTTAATGAGATATCGACCACCAGCGGAGAGAACGCGCTCGCTGTTTGTGTTTTTAGTTCGTTGTTGTCTGACCGCAGGTCATATTTCCTGTCAGACATCAACATGATCCAGTAAATATCAGCGTAAATGGGCCATCACATTTTCATGATCAGATGTTTACAAGTCAGTCATTACTACTGGATATTTTATCACTCATAGACATCTGAATTTAATAGCTAGCTATGAAATATAACGCTTGGTTAACGGACATTAAAAAGAAAATAATAAATCTCGTGTTCATTTGAAATGTCCCGCGACCATCCAACCTTTTTCGATAGCCCGGGTCCCAGGTCAACTGGAAGCAAACTCAGCTGACTGTGGGCGGGGTACCCCCTGGCCTGGTTGTCAGTCAACTGCAGGGTAGACCAACAACCATTTAAACTCTAGTCAAGTATGGATAATTTGGAGATTTCAAGAACTTCACGTGTGTTGTTTTATTCATTTATTCAGATCTCTTTTTATTTATCTATATTTTGCATTACTATTATAGTTAGTTCTATTTTTTTTTTCATGCGTTATTTTTTTTTGGATCAATAATAAAATGTTTCAAATGTTTTCGTATGATCACATGAGTGAGATTGTCTTTTAAAAAGAACATCCAAACAATCAAGGCGAGCAGACAGCAGCTCAGCTGGCACATAGACGGGGGGGAGAGATCAGGGCAGAGGTCATAGGTCACGTCATGAGTCATTGAGCGGTCAATGGCCCTCTTGGTACAACACACATTTGTGCCCTTTTGTGGGACTCAATGAACTTGTTTGTTGACAGCTGAGTGAAGGGTATAATCAAGAGACAATAACAATTAAAAAAAAAAAATGCTTGCTTTGCATGCATGCAATAGTGAATAATAAATTGAATTTATTTTTTGTTCTATTCATCCAATGAAAATCATATATTATGAAGATTTAATAAAGACAGAAAAATGCTTTTATGAAGGCCAGATTCCTACCAAATTGCCACATTAAAAAAAAAAAAAGATTGTTTCTTACCGTATGTATAACAGTATTCCGATTTCTTCAGGTGTTAAATTTGGGATTTGTGTTTTCTGTAAACTACAGTATCATCTTTAAAATTATAAACTGAAGTATGCACAGTAAAAAAAATTCAATTCATTCTGTCCTGACTTTATTATGAATGAACTACTGAGATAAATGACATTTTGCACCATTTTCTCATTTATTGAGATGTACCGGTATATTTTATTTCACTTTATAGTGTTTGGGGATGATATGACTAATTTGGTTCCAATTATTCTGCATACTTAAAAAAAAAAAAAAAAAAAAAACTCACTGATAGACAGCAATCGAAACAGAACAATACTACTGAACAAGTGCACCTAATGAAGCGTCGGGTGCACGTATAGTGCAATTCAGAGACACTGCGGTTTTGCACACTGCTGTTTCCAGGGTCAAAAATGAAGTCTGCATCACTCATCTAATCCAACACTAATTCAATTAGATTCAAATAGCTTAGCTCGCTAAGATCCTCAATCTTCTTTTTAATTACAAATTGGACGGCCCTTTATAGTTTCATTTTATTACAACCATGAAGCCTTTTCATGTCTGGAAGGGATATTGTATAGATTGCGTTCTATTTTTAAACTGGGCGGTTGAATCTACGCAGACTTTGAAAACTGCGCGAGTTGTATTATCATTTGTCTCACTTCTCATATTGTGTCTAGGAATATCCAGGTGAAGTTTTCTCATATGTGATGCGTCTGGTCTCTGCAGGGTCTCTTGCGGTGTCCGTCACTGACATGACAGCTCCCGTGGTCGGTTCGTCTGGCGGGGTGTATGCCCTGGTCTCGGCACACCTGGCCAATGTAGTCATGGTAATGTGTGTGTGTGTGTGTGTGTGTGTGTGTGTGTGTGTGTGTGTGTGTGTGTGTGTGTGTGGGTGTGTGTGTGTGAGACTCAGTGTGAATAGATGATTATCACATCCCTCACTGCACTTGATCATCAAAGCAGCTTCTTTTTGGGGCCCGGCAGCAGGTGTGGCTCCATCTGCGCATGCCATACATTCCATGATATTTTGTGATGGGAAAAGACTTGATTTTGGAGCATAATGTTGACTCTTTTACTGTTCATCCTGTCTTTTCTTTTCTAGAACTGGTCCGGCATGAAGTGTCAGTTTAAATTATTCCGGATGGCCATGGCTCTGGTGTGCAGTAAGTCCGCTTATTTTGGCTACCCAGCAACAAATATAACCTGAGATTTTCTGTAGTAGATCATCTTCGTAAATTAATCATTGGCTGTGTCTTCTAATTGAACAAATAAGTGCCTCCTTCCTCCCCTCGGAAGTCAAAAAAGTGACTGTAATTACGTAAAGTATGTATTTAAAGTATGCAATTTAACTCTTTCATGCATCCTGTACATAAGCTGTCCATGTGCCGTAATAATTATTACAATCTTCCTGACTGTGTGTATTTTTAAATTTAATTTACCGATAGCTCCCCCTTGATCCTGTAGTAAATTTTACATAGTAGTCATTTTTTTATATATATAT